ATTTACAATTATATTTAATCAACAGTCTCAACATGTAATCAGTATTTATTTAATACGACAATACGGATAATTTTATCTAGTATATTGCATCAAATTATTACAATTTACACTAAAATCGAAAGAAACTGGAAGATGACTAGTGCTGAGTGTGATTGGTGTCCCTAATTTCCGGATTTTGGATTTATTTCAAAAATAGTAACCAACTAAGGAATTATTAAATTATCGCTATTATATGCGACTGTCGTCTATATGCCGTACTGTACATTCCATGTCACAATCTGTAACGACTGTTCTCTATCCATTCTCTTAGAACGCCCAACCATTCTCGTTCAAGCATTACGTCAAATATCTTTCCTTACAATATACACTAACATCTCCAGCTCTAGGACATTGCCCCATACTAATTTGATTTGTCTATTACAGGCACATTATGTTTTTCCTCCCATATAATACCCAAAAGTCGTCTGTAACATCTCCCTTCAAAAGCTCTAGGCTTTGCTGTTCTTCTTGCTTCCATACAACATGTATTGTTTCGCAATTTGCATGGAATTTTCCGGTCACCTACTAGTACATGAACTATTCGCTGTTATAACTATGCACTGTTTTGTGTATTCTAATTGCATGAGAGTGAATATAATCATCATTGCATCACGACAGAAATGCCTGTCACTATACAAAGCTCATGTCAATATGATATAATTACATATCAATAGAATACTGTTACCTTTAATACTTGATCGTATGTTTTCTCATAATCCAAAATCAAATCATTAACCCTTGACAATATTAGACTGACAAACAATTATATGCATATACGAGATGAAATAAGAGGAAATAATGATTTAACCACGCACGAACAACGTGTTACTATGTTAGAAGTCGTTTATAAAATGACACACACACACAATTAATATATCACTTGCTTTTTGTGTATAGATCATAAATCCTGCTACCTCAGTGATTACCATTTTGAAGGTATGCTTGTAAGATTTTAAAACAATTCTGCATATTTTGCAGACGTGCTCGGCCTGTGATCGTTGTTCCACTCAGCATGTATTTATAACAGTGTTGGACAAATTTCTTTGTATAAATAAGTATTTTTTTTAAATCATTAAATGATAGATGCTACTAAATATATTATTATCATCACTCAACCGTGCTAGAAAACATTGCAAATTATAAACTTGAAATTTGGTGAATTTTACTAATTATTGGTTGTTAAAAACAATTGTAATGTTGGATTTAAAACGCTGAGAAGGAATGTGATGGATGCTTATGATGTACAAATTCGCGCAATGTTATATGGGAAACGTTCAAGTTGTAGCATGACGTCATCAAATGCATAATAGAGGAATATACGTGGGTCACATGATCACCACCATACGAGGCGTTATCGTTAATGGTACTCTGGTAACTGTGTGGTGTGTACTTTTACCTTAAATTTGACCTTAAAATATAAGCATTGGGATCACACACGGAACATGTGTACCATGCTTTAAAGACAACGACAATCTGTCCCTGGTTGTTATAACATGAACTTACATACACATAAACTTTGATGTTTTGTCCCTGAAACTTGCCATGTCATAAAGAAAACATGTGTTCCAAGTTTGAAGTTCCTAGCTATACCTTGTAGCTGAATGCTGAACATACATAATTATGTCTTTGATCTTTTGACCCCAAAATGCTTCCAGGTGTTGTGAGTAGCAAGGGGAAACTTTCTGTTTTAAGTATAAGACATATGGACAGGGCGACATGCCTTACAATATTTTCCATGCAATGTACAAGAATGCAACTGCTTCAACAATCTTGTGGTTTTGTTGAGGTGCAGGCATTCCCCATACATGTACCAATATGGAGCAGAGGATGTGAGATGTTTAAGTTGAGATGGATGAATGATGTTGCAGTGTTCGGTAAGAATATTAGTGAAGCAGAATAAGTTCTTAGCATTCTAAACATCAATTGCAATAGATTGAGACCTTATATTTAATACAAGTTATTATGAGTTTTTAACCACATGGACAGACAAATTACGAACATAAAAACATGCATACATGAGATTCGAACTCACCACCATGGCGGGTCGCCTTGCCACTATAAGCTGACGAGTAGCTCAGTATGGCAAAGTAATCAACCCAGAAAGTTTGCTTCCGAACAGCACCCAATGAACGTGCCCTCACAGTGACTAGATAAGTCAGTACGTCTCAGATGAATCTAAAACACCACAATGTCATGCATGGATAGCCAGGTATTCATGGGCAGTATGACCTACTCAGCTTTTAGTTAGTCTACAAACTAAAAGCTCTATTAAACTTTTATGACATTCCTGGCAACTTTCAGACAGCTATTTTGACTTTCTAGCGATCTTTTACAACTTTTCAACCAACATTCCCAACATTTCAGCACTTTCTACTATTGACTTTCTGCTTGTCCAATCAACTTTAACTATATTTCAGATGTTCAAACACACTTTTACGACTGCTAACCAACCAGGTGACTTTAACGAGTTTTCAGACAGCTTGTCTGACTTTCCAGCCAAAATGTTTGACATTCATGTCACCTTTTTCGACTTTCATTCCACCCAACATTTTACGACTTTCCACCCACCTTTAATGACTTTCAACCAATTTATACGACTTTCCAGTCAACTGTCCATTTATTGACTCTCTAGGCAACATTTGAAGTCTTCTGATGTAACTTTTTCCAATTGTTCAACCATTGTTTCATAATTGCCATGCAACTCTTTTGAATTTCAAGACAATAATGATGTGTTGTGGTGATAAAATACCAAGTATATACAACTCTACTACTTTTCTTTTCATACAAAACATGCAAAAGTACCTGCACACTTTTACTTGCCAATGAGTCGTATAACCGGAATACTACCAACTGAGTATTATTTATGAATAAAACTAAACTTTAAATATTTACTAGAAACTCCATAAAAACCCAATAAATATTATTAGGAATACTTAGGAT